ACCCTAGTGCCAACACTGACCCTAGCGCCAACACTGACCCTGACCCTAGTGCCAACACTGACCCTAGCGCCAACACTGACCCTGACCCTAATGCTAATACTGACCCAAACCCTAGTGCCAACACTGACCCTAGTGCCAACACTGACCCTAGTGCTAATACTGACCCTAGTGCCAACACTGACCCTAGCGCCTACACTGACCCTGACCCTAGTGCCAACACTGACCCTAATGCTAATACTGACCTAAACCCTAGTGCCAACACTGACCCTAGCGCCAACACTGTCCCTGACCCTAGCGCCAACACTGACCCTGACCCTAGTGCCAACACTGACCCTAGCGCCAACACTGTCCCTGACCTAATGCTAATAGTGACCCAAACCCTAGTGCCAACACTGACCCTGACCCTAGTGCTAATACTGACCCAAACCCTAGTGCCAACACTGACCATGACCCTAGTGCTAATACTGACCCAAACCCTAGTGCCAACACTGACCCTAGCGCCAACACTGACCCTGACCCTAGTGCCAACACTGACCCTAGCGCCAACACTGACCCTGACCCTAGTGCCAACACTGACCCTAGTGCCAACACTGTCCCTGACCCTAATGCTAATACTGACCCAAACCCTAGTGCCAACACTGACCCTAGTGCCAACACTGACCCTAGCGCCAACACTGTCCCTGACCCTAGTGCCAACACTGACCCAAACCCTAGTGCCAACACTGACCCTAGTGCCAACACCGACCCTGACCCTAGTGCTAATACTGAACCTAACCCCAACACTGTACCGCTGGGACAAATACAATTGCTACTACTACTGATACTACAGGTACTGGACAGACAGGCATCACTCTTATTACTGATCCTACTGCTCATGTTGCTCCACACTCTCCGGGCTTTCCCAGACAGTTATTGGAATGCTGATGAATCAATGTTGGGAATGTGTTGGGAAGGGGGCGTGATGTGAGTAATGGCTGTGCTATCTGTGGCTCTGCCGAGCTACAGTGGGGTCAGAGTGAGCTGGCCTGGGGAGGGGGGAAGTGGTGGTGGGGGGGGCAACCTCAGGACAATTAACGACCCCCAAGGCTCGTCGCCGCAACCCGCAACCTCATCGCAGCTCATCGCCCAGACAACATCATCCCCGACTCTCCTGGGACCGCCGCAGGAGCAGAGCGATTTTCTGCCCATTGTTTGCCTAGAACATAGTCGTTTCCCGGCCGAGATGTTCAGGAAATCACATGCTGTCACAAGATTGCTGTGATTCCCATGGCCAGGGAGTGATCAGCAGCCAGGCACTAGAAAAACCCCATCTGGGAAATTTCCCTCAGTTTTCCCCTGAAGTGTCAAATAAGTGTCAGGATGTTGCACAGTGCAGCTGACAACACTCAGCTCCATAACAAGGTTAAGGGGAAAAGTGTCCCTGCAGTGTCATACATACCTGCTCTCCGGTCCAGTCCCACACTGCAGCCTGTCTGCTCTGGGCATGTCAGCAAAGGGACCAGGTGAGCGCCACCGTGTCTCTCCTTGTGCTGGACTTTTAACATTGGAACAGAGAAGACTACAAGAGTCTACAAGAGGGACTCAATCCTTGAAGGATCCGGCCACATCATCCCAGCAGGTGTCTTCAGGAAGTACCTACCAGAGGACACCAGGAGCAGAGCCGTGCTGTGGAAAGTGTCTGGCTTCTCTTAAGATTCAGAGGAAGGAGAAAATCAGAGCAATAACCTACTAAAAACCAAGAGATGGGTGGGACGAATGACTGCTTGGACTTCATCCTGGGTGTTGGTCTGCCGGTGTGTCTGCGTGTCTTTTTGTCTGCCTTTGTGTTTCTC